AACCCAGAAACAAAAATGTAATATATTGCCACTTACCAATCTTTAGATGTGGTGCACTGGTTTTCTTTTTTTAGGCTTTTTTCTTTACTTTGAGCTGGTGATCCGACTAGTAAGTCTGTTATCTTTCAACGTACTTTAACAGATGAAGTTGTCCAGCAAAATTAGCAGTTAGAGAGTTGAGACAAATCATTTCCCACTGACACGTGAGCTTACAATGGTCAGCTTATTTTTTATTTACTGTATGTAAAACCTTTATCCCAAAAGGAAACAGAAAACAGTTTGCTGTAAAGGCCTAAAAAGTAGTAGATGGAGTTAGCTTTCATTTTCTAGTCGTGTTTATCTAATTCTGCTAATCAATGTTAAAGTGTTACTAATTCCACAACAGTAAAATCAGTCAATATAGGCAGTAAAGCATGTTTGTTATACTCATTGTGGAACCTAAAGAGTTAATCCTCCACACTGTGTAAAAAGGCTGTTTAATCCTGTCTTCTATGATCCTCCCCTTCTTATGCTGTCCCCAATCTATATGCTGATAGTATAGAGCTCTATGAGGCACTCTACAAATGCTCAGTTTGGTGTGTATTACTAGAAGGTTTTTTCTGTGTGTGTGGAAGGGTGCATGTGATTGACACAGAGCCAATCAGCGCTGTACAGACAGAGGGTCAGGGGTCATGCAGCTTCACAAGACAGTCAGAAGAGAATGAAAACTCCTCCTACAAGCTTTAACCAGTGCTCAGCTGGACACTGATAGAAGTCACAACGTACAAGACTGCTATATACTGCTGCTGATGAGATATAGTGAATGTAAGGTCATAGGTTTAATAACACTTTAATACAACCATCTCCAAGATTGACCATGCTGCTGTTCAGGGGTGACTTTGTTGCTGTCCATCCAAAGTAGAGACACCCTAAGACAGGAAGATTTACTAAAACTGCAGAGTCACCATACTTTGTTTTGTTGGGAAAGCACTTTGAAAAAAAAAAAAAAATATATATATATATATATATATTTAATCTCCACATCCGGGAAGGCTTCTTCACAGTAAAAGCTGTGAAAATGTGAAATAGATTACAACAAGAACTAGCTTCGGCCAGATCAGTAGATTTTTTAACAAAATAACTAGATGCATTCCTAACTACACAAACTATAATTGGATACTAACATTAATAGGTAATAACACTAAAGATTGTTGATTTGGAATATATCTCATTGCCTTCTGGGGGATCAGGAAATAATTTATTTTCTAAACTGGATCAATTTGGACCATGCTCCAAATTGGTTTTTTTTTTTACCTTCCTCAGCATCAGTGGTAGTTATAGGATCTAGCAGCCTTGCACCCTTTTTCAACCTAACTATGTTGCAAACAATACATAATCAAGTGCAAGGAAAATAAAAAAAAACTGCATTTTTGCTTGCACATGATTGGATGGTGGAAGTTAGCAGAGCTTCAGTTCATTTACTAAGCTCTGGAGCAACTGCTCCTGCAGCGTGCAACTGCACTTTGCAAAGTGAACAGTCTATTTGCCTATAGTACATCAACCCCTATGTACCCTTGCAGTGGGGCTCCCTTGCACTGCAAGGGTTCAATATTTGTTTATGCCTGGGGTAACTGTAAAAAGGGCTTTTAGATACCTGTAGACTCCCTCCATGCTAAAAGACTGACCGCCAATAGCCCTGCATTGTATATGAGGATGCTGAGGGACTGCCTACAGCCTGGAGCGTCAATGAGAATAGTTGAAAGCTGGCTCCTGGGAGAGGGTTTAGGTAATGCAGTCCATACATGGATTGAATTCCGAACAATTTTTCGTCCAAAAATCGAAACGTCATTCATTCTGTAATCCGATAGTGCCACCAATGATTTTGAAAATCGGTTGTTTTTTTCACAAATTTTCCAGCATGCCCGATAAACAAAATGGGGAGGAACCACGAAAATTGCCCGATGCCATTGCCCCACTAACAGAGAGAAAATTATTCGTCCGAAAATTGTTTGGAATTCGAACCATGTATGGCCTGCATAAGAGATTATCTTTCTTCCTGGTACCCTAGGTATAAATGATCATTTGATCTTTTGATGTGGGGTGGGGAAGTGTGTGTGTGTGTGGGGGGTCCTACTTTCCTAGAAACCAAGTTGAATTTTGTGTTTACTGGCCATTTAAAGGTGGTCGGTAGATTAGTACATAGTGGAAATACATCACATATGCGCATACTCATCACGCTACACAGTTTTGAGTGGAACAATGCACATGAGATTGTTATTTTCTAAGGCTCTGCAGAGGTAGTAATCAAGGGATTAAACTGACACACCTACATTACATAAGGCTTTAAAATACATCCAAGCAGTATATATCTAAAAACAATATAGGGATTGAAAGAGTCTGGACTCGTAATTCCTAACCAGCGCAAAGCAAACGTATTAGTTGCCCAAAAACAAGCAACCCTATGTGAATTACCAATACAATAAAACAATAAATCATTTTTTATGTGGCTGTACCACATAAGGATGTGAACCTGTGTGATCCATTTGGCTAAGGGATGGTTAAAAAAGACAATAGAACTCTAAGTGGAAGTACAAAACGGCACTTAATTAGGAATATTAAGCCATCTTTGTTCTTCTTCAGAGGCCTAAACTTGTATCTAAGCCTAAGATACTTGGTAACCATGGTAACACGCTTTTGTTCTAAAAACAGAATGGCAGCATGCTGAAATCTAACACAATAAACATTATTAACTTTAAATACAGTGGGTGCCATAACAGGCACATTGCATGTTTTTTTCCCTCTTTTTTTTTACCTTTGTCTGGTCTGAAAGACGATCAAAAGGAAAGTGTGACCTCCAAAACAAATATGACGCTGAGCTCAACTTAAGCAGTTAAATACACAAGTGAAATATGTTTATTGAACAACTGAAGGTAAATTCCAGAGAAAACAGAAATCCTCCCTTGCAGTGGTGCTGCCTCTGCACTACGTCCAGGATACCAAAAAAATCAGTTTTACTTTTTGGTCCCCATTCCCACAGGCTCCCTCCAGGCATCAAGACTGGACCCTGCAGCTCCTTCTTCCTGATGCTCCAGTGGTCGCCATCACAGCCCTGCTTTGAACGTGAGGACGTTGAAGGACTGTTCACTGTTGGAGGGTAGTGGGGCAGAGTAGACCTTCGATTGCCAGGCCAGCGATGAATCAGGTAAGTAAAACTGTTTAAGTAATCTAGACTTAACAAAAGCGTTTAAGCCCGGTTAAAGTGCAGGGGCAGCCCCATTGCAAGGGAGGACTTTTCATTTTCCTGGAGATAGCCATCAACGTCCAGAGGCACTTGTTATTGTATGTAAGAATCAAAGAAACAGCCCTAGACACAAGCTCAAATTGGGAAGAAAGAGGCAGCGCCCTTTAAGTGCAGTATAAAAGCTTTTTAATGAATAAAAAAATGTAGTAATATAGGCCACTCACAAAGCATAAGTAGGTTTGTGCTTGTAAATTAATGAGCATTTGCTGTAGTGAAGGAGTGTGAAGTCTCTGGATGGATGGCGGTCACCGGCATCTGGCGGTGGTGCTGGTGGCTTCCAACACATCCTCCTAGTTTCGGGATTCCCTCGGTTGAGACGGCACATCCGGTCACGTGATAGCAGGGGTTGGTGCATGTGACCACCATCCATCCAGAGGCTTTACACTCCTTCACTACAGTGGATGCTCATTAGTTTATAACTGCAAACCTACTTATGCTTTGTGAGTGGCTTGCATTACTACACTTTTATTCATTAAAAAGCTTTTATACTGCACTTACAGGGCGCCACCTCTTTCTTTCTGATCTTCCACAGGGCCTCTCTAGCTCGGTATTGGCCGGCTGCCTCCACTCCATGGTGCAACAGAATTACCTATAGGACTCTTTCTAAGGACATTTTATTTGTATATTTATTACAGTATATTGTTCATTATTTATTTTCCCTAATTCCATCACCATTGATTATATGCTTATACATACTATTGTATGCCGCATCTACCTCTTTACTCCGTCTCAGAGTGCGCCAAATATTTTACTTGACAAGCTCAAATTGGGAGCACTAATTTCTCTATCCAGGTTGTTTATAGCTGTCCTAACCTTAGTTCTTGGAGTTCACTCACTCAGTCTTTGTTATGAAGACTGTAAAAGTAGAATTGTTTGTCAAGGGCTTTGCTGCTTTATGACCAGCTAATACAACCTGTCCTCTTTAATGATGTTGAAGGGCAGTCTAGCTGTACATGCAGTTTCACAGGTCATCTAGGCTGGTCATGAGGGTCTCGCAGACTAGACCAGCCCAACTCATATGAAGTCAATAGCAATAAGGTAGACAACCTCCTAGACCAGTGGTTCCCAACCTCAGTCATCAATACCCCCAATAGGTCATGGCTTCAGAATTTCATTCACCTTCACAGGTGCTTTAAATTGGTTCTAAAGGCTGAAGGTGTATTTTCCTTCATGCATGAAGGTAAAAAATACCTTCAGGGTGCAGCTCTAATACTTAAATGATCCCGATTCTGGTCCAGCAATGTGCACGAGAGCCAAGGCTCTCCCAGGACTCTTTCTCCTCCTTTCTTGGCTGAGATACTGCAGCAGGAGCCATGGGCTCCCATTCCTGTCAATCACAGCCAGTGAGGAGGGAACGGGGGGCAGGACTGAACCATGCTCTGTGTTCCCAATAGAGCCACAGAGATAGCTTGGGGGCGAGCATGCACATGTGACTCCAGAGCAAGCAGCTTGCTCTGGGAACACTTGTCAGAGGGGAGGGGCAGGAAATGTCAGTGGGGGACCCAAGAAGAGGAGGATCGGGGCTGCTTTGTGCAAAACCATTGCCCAGAGCAGGTAAATATGATGTGTTTATTATTTTAAAGAAAAAAACAAGACTTTAGAATCACCTTAAATCACTGTTAACGGCTTGGTATTTATGACAGCTATTCTATTTAGGGGAAATTCCCCAAAACATGTTGGTGGTACATGTGGACTGAGGTTGGGACCCACTATTATAGACTAAAGCAGGGCTTGAAATTTCCACTCGCCTGCTCGCCAGTGGTGAGTGGAAATTATGGTGGGGGTGAGTGTGTCCCCCAGGGCCGTCTTGCTGAGCAGGCTCGGAGCTCAGGCTGGATCTGTCATTGGCACTGGGAGCCGTCAGACTGCTCAATAGCTGAGCGCAGTGAAAGCAAAGCAAGGAGTGTGTGTGCTGTGCTCTCTGCCTCCCCCTAGAGTGCAGTACCCGGATCTGTGAGTGAACAACAAAGTACTGCAACTTCATCTGTGTATGCATGTACAAAATGTACATGGTCTGTGTGTATGTACATTTGTATATCTGTACATTTGTCTGCGTGTATGTACATGTATGTGTGTGTGTAAATGTGTCTGTGTGTGTGTACATGTGTCTGTGTGTGTATGTACATGTGTTTGTGTGTATGTCCGTACGTGTCTGTGTGTACATGTGTCTCTGTATGTATGTACATGTGTCTGTGTGTATATACATGTGTCTGTGCATGTGTATTTCTGTGTATGTACATGTATCTGTGTGTAGGTGTGTCTGTACGTGCCTGTGTGTGTATACATGTGCCTGTATGTGTGTGTGTGTAGATGTGTCTCTGTGCGTGTGTGTACATGTTTCTGTGTGTGTATGTATGTACATGTCTGTGTGTGTGTACAGGTGTCTCTGTTTGTGTGTGTTTGTTGGTGGCGAGTAAATCTAAGGCCTGGCTAGTAGCTCAGGACTTGAAATTTTAAGCCCTGGACTAAAGTATGGCCACTCCCTTGGGGACAAGAGTCATATGTATGCACATTGATTGCCTCATTATGATTATTCTTAAAAAACAAGCTTGGCTGAAGCTGTTTTTAATGACTGCCTATTAATGACTGATTACAACTAAAACAATGCATACAACTATTTATTTTCTCTTTGGAATTTACCAAAACACCAAACAAAAACTGGTGTCTTCTGTTCCTCTACACAAACTAAAATCAAGAATACCAATGAATTTGTACCACTACTTCCATTAAGATGTTTGTACTGCAAATTATATTTTTAAGTGGCTAAGATGGCTTTCAGTAATAAACACATATTTCAGATTTATGAAATACCACAAATGAAACTTAGTAAACACTGAGATTCCACAAAACCATATTATAGAACTCATTTCATTTAGTTTGATTCCTAAAGTGCACTGTAGGACACTGTCTAATCAAGATGTATAGGGCTCATGTATTGACCTAACTCAAAAAAAGATACTCGGATACTTGGTGACCAATAGCAACCAACAAGAATTTAGTTCACAAAGAATGCAGTGGTTACTTCACCATACTGCCATTTTTTTTAAAAACGTAGTATCAAAGGCTTAACGTTTTTATCCTAATGCAGTGGTATGCAAACTGTGGCTCGCAGGTTAGATGTGGTCCTTTGTTTGAATTTATCCAGCCCTTGGGACACTATTCCTCCCACTGACACAAACGACGAGACACCGTTCTTCATACTGACACCAATAATGGGGCAATATTCATCCCACTAAAACCAACAATGGGGCACTACTCTTCCCACTAACACCAACAATGGGGAATTATTCCTTCCTCTTACACCAATGACGGGGTACTATTCTTTCCACTGACACCAACGACGAGACACCGTTATTCATATTGACACCAATAATGGGGCAATATTCATCCCACTGAAACCAACAATGGGGCACTACTCTTCCCACTAACACCAACAATGGGGAATTATTCCTTCCACTTACACCAATGATGGGGTACTATTCTTTCCACTGACACCAATAATGTGGCACTATTCTTCCCGCTGACACCAACGATGTGGCACTATTCTTCCCACTGACACCAACGATGAGGCACTATTCTTTCCACTGACACCAACGATGAGGCACTATTCTTTCCACTGTCACCAATGATGGAGCACCATTCTTCCTCCTACTGACCACAGGTGCTTTGTAATTTTTTATTTGACCTCCCCCAAGACATTGTTTACTCACACTGATGCTGGGGCATTTCTACATTTCTACTCCCAATGGGCAAAGTCCAGACTGCCCTAGAGTCTCCTGCCTTTACAATACATGTGCTACCCCATCCCCCCCTCAAACATTTAGATGCTGTCCTTGTCACTGTCACCAGCTCCGGGATCAACCTGTGTTGTTTCCTGAACTTCCATGCTCTTACAGGAGATGCTGAAGGCAGCAGAGAGATAGGTTCCTGCTGTCATCAGTCAAATTGCTCGGAGTGCGGAGGAGGAAGGCGCAGGGGCATGATTTGCTAGGTGCTGTGTGTCTATTGATGAACACAGCTCAGCTGAGTTCCCAGAAGGGAGTGTGCATGCATAGGTGTCTCCTTAGCACCTGGCTAGCTAAAAGAGACACCTGTAAACACAGAGAAGGGGACAGTGGCTTTGGGACCTCCCCCCCCCCTTCAGGACAAAGAAGAGAGGGACATTTTTAAGAACTATACATAATAGGTGAGCCTGGACATCCTCTTCTGAAATTAAAACAAGGTTGACAGGTGTCAAACACAAGGCCTGTGGGCTAAATCAGGCCCGCCAGGCCATTAAATTTGGCCCTTGCACCTCTCCTGCAGCTGTGGCACCCCCCTCGTCTCTGCTTCACCTTGTCTCAGCATTCGGCAGGACAGAGGAGGACAGAACTTCCCATATCAGATCCTGTGCTTCTCTGTTCAGCCTCACCACCCCACTTGCATTCAGCAGACTCTAGCAGCTGACTCCAGACCTCCTCTGATCCTCCACCAGACCCTGGACTTTCTCCCTCCCAGCTCCTCCCCCGGCTTCTTCCTGGCAGCAGGACAAAGTAAAGGGGCTGCACTATGATGTAAGGGAGCGTGGGGAACTCTTGACATCTGATGTAATGGAGGGTGGGGTGCTCCGGACACTTTGTCTTACAGATACAAACGGCCCTTTGGAGGCAACCGTAATTGTGATGTGGCCCTGATGAAATTGAGTTTGACACCCCTGGTTTAATATCACTTTAATTAAACCCAGTTAACCATTATAACTTCTATTCTCCACCATAAGACTGTACAATTAACTGATTCCAAACACCTTCTAACAGTACACTATCTCTTTTAACGCATGCTGTGAATATGAGTCTATAATTAAATGTTGTGCCATCTAATAAATTATTTCCATTTCAGACTAAACTTCACAGGCAAACATGTACTGTTTAGGGAATAGATAAATAAAAAAACGCCTTTCCATTAGATTTATAATGTGGGGAATAGAGCTATATAAAACATCTTGATGACAGAACTCCTAATAGGCTACTTTTATGCAAACAGAACAAGACAAGCTTAATATTTCAACTTTGTGGGTGGCCATATGAAACATATTAAGATAACACATTTTTCGGCATTGTGTTCACTGAATTGAATACTGTACCTTGAATGGTCTGTTGAGTCGTACAAGTTAGAACTACTAGATGCACATATTGAAATAAGGGATTCCCTAAAAAAACAATGGCAACGAACCACGGCAAAGTACATATCTGCCTCCAAACACGTTACTCGAGTCATTGCAAAGTTACTCTTTCACTTGTTATGGAAAACCTTCAGCAGTCCTTGTAGAATACATAACGTTATTTCCACTCTTGCTGTCCACACCGTTAAGTAGGCAGTATCACAGTGGTGGGCCTCATTAATAATTCATTGGCTTCATAATTAGAGCTGTGCACATACTAAAGAGACACGGGCAGCTTTAATTAATAGTTAATTTGTCTCCCTTTCTATCTTGCTGGCAGCCGGCAGTCCTTGGAGTAAGGAGACAATATACTTGAAAGCTCCAAAACACTGTGAGACTGACAATACAGAGAAACATCTGCCTAACCCAGGTCTACTACAAGGGAGTGTTCCAGTTCTGGATCTCAGCACATCAAAACTATTTCGTATTTCTACTTTTCTAAGAACAGAAATTGGAAACATTTGAAAGAAAAAATATTTTTGAGCATAAATCACATTAGCCTGTCCTTATAAAAGGATTACCAAATAATTTCAACATGGCTTTGATTTGCTGGCTTTGGAATATTTTCTTGACTATATTTTATCATAGTTATCTATTATATCACGCAATCAACACTCTTCATAGACAAACCACTGAGATAGGCTCAACTAAAGCATAACTACCAAGACTACATCCTGTATTACTTTAATCATTATGAGTATATCATTATTAAATACATTAATAAATACTCTCATCGGCCACTTTATTAGGTACACCTTGCTAGTGCCAAGAAAATATTCCCCACACCATTACACAACCACCACCATCAGCCTGCACCATTAATACAAGGCAGGATGGATCCATGCCTTCATTTTGTTTACTCCAAATTCTGACCCTACCATCTGAATGTCGCAGCAACCAGTCTGCCCATTCTCCTCTGACCTCTGACATCAACAAGGCATTTTCGTCCACATAACTGCCGCACACTGGATATATTCTCTTTTTCAGACCATTCTCTGTTTACCCTAGTGATGGCTGTGCGTGAAAATCCCAGTAGATCAGCAGTTTTTGAAATACTCACACCAGCCTGTCGGGCACCACCAACCATGCCAACCCACTTTATTCCCCATTCTGATGCTTGTCTTAACCACATTGTGTTACCAAGCAATTGAACTGGTGTACCTAATAAAGTGTATATTGATTGTACTGCAATGCCCCCCTGTAATATATCTCAGCTGATATCGTGCACAGTGTAACAAGAGATGCATACAAACAAATGTATGGCTCTACCAGAACATATTTAAAAAGCCTGCTAAATGTTTACCTTCTATTTCAAGGGAGAAATCTGTATCAATCTCCTTTTGAGATACCAGCAGCCTTGGTTGTTTCTTATTAGCTTTCCAGTAATTTCAAACAATATAGACCTCATGCACAGACCTCGTGCTCTGGCCACAGCGTGGGTGCAGCGCAATGTACCCGTAGTTTTGTTGCAGGTTTGCCATAGACTTCTGTTATGCCCCATGGTTTATCCTGTGCATTCAGAAGGCGCACCAAAACCATGGGACATAATAGAAGTCTATGACAAAGCGCAGCTAACCCCTACCAAAATCGTAGATAACACTGCACTGCGGCCAAAGTGCAGTGTAAAATTTGTCAGGGCTTTCCAGCCCCCATGGGCATCCCTTTGTAAACACCAATGGCTTCTCCAATGGTGTTCACCCATGCATGCATAAGCCATTGTTTTTTAGAAGTGTGTGGGCACCTATAGTCATTTCATAGCATAGGTGGCTGTACAGGGCACCTGCAGTGGAAAAGCACAGTAAATTCTATACTAGAAGACTCTAGAGTGTATAAATGTTCATGTGGATGACACCCTATAAGCATGAGTAATAACAGCCGTAGTTGGCCAGTAACATGCAAAAATAAGGCACCCAATAGTATGCTAGCAGTCATGTCCAGTAATATTATAGCAACTGTAGTCCTTTGC